TCATGTTCTGCTTGCAGACTCTGAAGACAGAAATGCTCAGAAAGGCTCACCAGTGAATTACAGTGCTGTGTGTGTGTTTACAGAGAGAGATGGCGGTTTCTGGAGCACATATGACAAGTTTAACCTCTCCTGAAAAACACTGCTCCAAGTTTAAACTAGATTCTGAATGACAAATTTCAAATGCAAACTCAAATTTTGGACTCCACTGCATGTAAGATGTAAAGTTCTTTTATCCTTTTTAAGACTTTCATATTTGGGTGAAATATGAAAATTTTTTAATTAGCAAGCAAATTATTTATTATTTTCTTTGAGCATCCAAAAGGCCAAATATTTTGGCAAGGAGAACTTACAGATCTACTCTGTGGAAGCCCGTTTCCGCCACTGAATACAAAATAAAAAAGGTAATTGAGACTTTTTATCTCGCAATTCTGACTTTTTTCTCAAAATTGCGAGTTTACATCTCACAATTCTGACTTTTTTCTCAGAAGTACCTGATACAAACTCGCAATTCTGACTTTTTTTTCTCATAAACTCACAATTGCGAGTTATAAATTTAGAATTGCAAGATATAAACTCGCAATTCAGGCTTTTTTTTCTCAGAATCAGGGCCGTTTCTAGCCAATTTGACGCCCCCCCCAAAAAAGTATATATATATATATATATATATAACTTTCACTATACAAATATTTTTTAATTGGATGTTAAAGTTTATATGGGAATATTACATGATACGCTGATCCTTTAACAATGCATTGGCGCAAAAAACGCACACCTATTGGACAAATCTGCCACAAATATTTGGACAAATGTGCCACAAAAAACTTCCTTCCATTGGCAGACAGGCACATGACACACATGTGCACTTTTTCCTCCAATCCACTTCAGTGCAAACTCCGCCCCACTGCTGATTCTAAAGATTTTATTGGTTGTGTCAATTAAAGTGTTGATTTCCTACACTATGCTACAAAAAATGCTAACCCCTAAACCTACCCCACACCTGACCCTAACCTTAACCAGTGAGATTGACTGCACGGCGGGATTGGGGCTGAATAGCGTGGTAAAGAAAGATGCAGTTCAGGAGATAAACTTTTAATAAGATTATGCGATATGAGATCGTTCCGTAACTCCCCAACCGGACCTCACCGGACAATGGAACCTTTTTAGTTACACCCAGCGTCGCTACCCCCTCCTACCCTGCGAATTTCGTGCCCCGGGACGCCCCCGTTGCTTAGAACAAAGCGATAGAGTCCAATCTTTCCCCTGCGCTGGGACGGCTCGCGGGAGAGCTCGTGGGTGATTCCCGTTTCCATCATGAAGCAGAGGTTCAAACTCCAGTCCGAACACCACTGGCCACGAGCTTTGGGCTCTGCTCTCACGGAGAATATTTACTTATATAGCATATTTTATTTGAGATCAACTAGAAACAATGTTTAACTTATATAGTTTTATTTTGAAATGTAAGTCAATAACAATTGGCTGGAGCCAGAGCCAATGGTGAAAGTCTTTGCGCGAGGAGACCCCGCCCCATTTTGGAGGTTCTGCCCATTTTTGGAGTTCACGCCCCATTTAGGAGATCTCCTCTCTGCAGTTATATCTACTTGGTCTTTATCACAACCCTGCTAAAAGTGCCAGTACGTGCGCTCATTGGCGCCCCTTCAGCTGGTAGCTCGCCTATGCCTAGAAACGGCCCTGCTCAGAGTTGTAAGATTTACACTCGCAATTGCAAGATATAAAGTCCAGTTCAAAAGGAGAAAAAAAGACTGATATGTTCTCAGAATTGAAATGAATTGCGAGATGTAAACTCACAATTGTGAGAAAAAAGTCAGAATTGTGAGATAAAAAGTTTAATTTTTTTTATTCAGCGGCTGAAACGGGCTTCTATTCTACTCAGCTAACAGGGAATGTTCTCAAGATTTGGGAAGGTTATCTCTAAGTTGTGAGCAAACATTCGTCCAGTAAAATTAACATAATTTTTGTCTCTGATAATGTTCTTTAAACGTTATTTATACATCATTCGTGGACTGTTCCCCCCCCCTGAAACATTTTAGTTGGGCGTTCCTCTAACATATTTAAATGTTACAACTTTACTAGTTTCAGAATGCTCGGAGAACACTCAAATGTAACATTCTCACAATGTTTTCAAATTGATCAAATGGAATGTTGCCTTATTGTTTTCTCTAACGTTCGTAATACCCAAGGAAAACTTTTGAACGTGCAGAGAAATATTGTTTTCATAACATTATGGGAATGTTAGCAAAAAGATCTTACAATATTTTTGTTAGCTGGTTGCTCCTCAGGTCAATAACTGTTAGCATCACCCAGTTTTGACACGTCTTATTTTAAAACAAATAAATATAGATAGCTTTTTTCATAATGTAAATAGTACTCACCCAGATCCTTCATCACCGGCTCTCGTTTGCATTGAATCTGCTGACATCCAGAGAGAGAGAGAGCCGCTCACACCATTGATCACTGATCAGTCCCACTGATCGATACAGTTCATATTCAGTAACACATGCGCGCACAGCATAACAAACCTACATAGAAAAGTAACTTAAACAGCTTTGCATTAGCGGACTTTGATATGAGAAATGCTAGCGGTTATTCCTCCTATCCCTCGTCTGTACTGTTGTGACACGCCAGACACGCACACACTCTCACTCACACACACACACACACACACACTCTCTCTCTCTCACACACACACACACACACACACTCTCTCTCTCTCACACACACACACACACACACACTCTCTCTCTCTCACACACACACACACACACACACTCTCTCTCTCTCACACACACACACACACACACACACTGGTTTGTTTTTATGGTTTATGGGGACTCTCCATAGGCGTAATGTTTTTTTTACTGTACAACCCGTATTTTCTATTGCCCTACACCAACCCTACCCCTAAACCTACCCCTTACAGGAAACTTTCTGCATTTTTATATTTTAAAAAAAAACTCATTCTGAATTATTTATAAGCCTTTTGACTTACGGGGACACTGAAAATGTCCTCATAAATCACCTTCTCGTTGTAATACCTATGTCATACCCATGTTATTATACAAATTTGTGTCCTCATAAACCACATAAACATGCACACACACACACACACTCCTCCTCTCATTCGGTGAGTCGGATGGGAGAGGTTTACTGATGACAAATCACCGGGCGTCAATGCTCTTGCACGGATATGTCCCGCGAAAAAAACAAAACAAAACAAAACAAAACAAAACAAACAAACAAAACCGTACACGGATCATTCTAATGCACTGCGTCCATTAAACACCAAATTTGCTATAGGTTTTATTAATCACATTTATTGATATCTGTTGCTTTTAGTGTAACATAATTTATATTTTAAAAAAAAACTCATTCTGAATTATTTATAAGCCTTTTGACTTACGGGGACACTGAAAATGTCCTCATAAATCACCTTCTCGTTGTAATACCTATGTCATACCCATGTTATTATACAAATTTGTGTCCTCATAAACCACATAAACATGCACACACACACACACTCCTCCTCTCATTCGGTGAGTCGGATGGGAGAGGTTTACTGATGACAAATCACCGGGCGTCAATGCTCTTGCACGGATATGTCCCGCGAAAAAAACTAAACAAAACAAAACAAAACAAAACAAACAAACAAAACCGTACACGGATCATTCTAATGCACTGCGTCCATTAAACACCAAATTTGCTATAGGTTTTATTAATCACATTTATTGATATCTGTTGCTTTTAGTGTAACATAATTTTTTTTCATTAAAAAATGTATGTAAAAAATCCTTTAAAGAGGTCTTTAACGTAATAAATACATATTTTCACAGCAATGCAGAGATGTTGTTATACCGTCGCGCCCCCTTGCGACACCTGAGGCACCTCACTATGGAGTCAATATAGTGCCACATATATATGCAAAATAATAAAGTTTTGCAAAAGAAAATAAAGTTTTGCAAACGAAAATAAAAGTAATGAGAAAAAATAAATGTGTTTTTTGCAAACAAAAATAAATAATTGCAAAAGAAAATTAAGTATTGCGAGAAAAAAAGAAGTTTTGCAAACAAAAATAAAGAATTGCAAAATATAAATGAAACAGCACAAAAGCAATGATTTTGCAATACATATTTTCCATGGCCATATCTACTAATTTATTTGCAACGCTGCTTTTATTTTGCGTTTCAGTCAAGTGAGCTTGCAATACCGTTTTTTCCTTTGCGCTTCACGTTTCTGCGCGTCTTGCTTTCTGGCACTGTTTTGACATGGGGGTGGAGTCAAGGGACGGGGACGTGTACAACAGGCCTGGGCATGCCTCCCTGGAAGTGATTTAATAATGTAATAATTTTTTTTATCTAAAATTTCTTAATTCAAAATAAAATATTAATAAATACATATCTGACAATCCCAGGTTGATATGGCCACGCTGGTTTGTTTGCACATTAAATTTATGAGAAATTTAAAGAATTTTAAAACAAAAAGAGCTTAATTTTTTTAAACTTACAGTTAGTCATTTCTTAATTTATGCCAGGAGTTATGTAAATGAAAAACGAAGTCGAGATCGATATGAAGCTTGAGTCGTAGACCTTTTTAATGATGTAAGTTAGTTTATGAAGTTAATTGCATTCTTTAACATTAAAACTAGCAGTAACTCTGAACTCATGTAAACAAAGAACGCTTCTGTGCGCTGGCGTCCTTTTCATTTAATGATTTGCATATTAAATATGATAATTTTACAGTATGGAAGGTATTGTAAATACGTAAATTCAATTATAAAAAAGAAAACCAGATCACCAATTTCATTATAGAAGACTATATCCAAAATATATGCTAAAATTGAATATTAAATGAAATGATTTAATTTTCATTTTATTTTTCACCGTGACAATGCATTGTCCCTGTCAAATTAAAACATAAAATGCAGAAAATGTTAGGGTTACAGTGATTGAATACAATATGATGTGTTTTTAAATCATTTTGTGCAGATGCCAGATGTGTCTTGTACGCTGAAGAACATGCCAGATCCTGGTAGTACACGTTCACATAACTTTATTACAGGAGATCTGAATGATATATATCTGGTATAATATATTCTATTTGAATTGACAGTGACTGCCAGAGAGAGCATCTGGCTGCCGTTCATGGAGAAGGAGCTAAAATGTGATGAAGAAACAGCCATCATCGGACACAGCTCAGGAGCCGCTGCAGCTATGAGGTACTGAGTGATTCTGCCTGGCAGTGTTTGCTTGCATGCTTATTAATAATTTAATAATAATTTAATAATTTATGCATTTAGCAGACGCTTTTATCCAAAGCGACTTACAGTACATTCAGGCTATACATTTTTATCAGTATTAGGCCTGTCATATGTATTAATAAAGATTTACTTGATCCTTTTTTTGAAGAAATGTAATTTATACGTTTCTGCTTCTTATTTGGTTCACTACTTCTCCCGTTGATATGGGTCAGATGTAGTAAAACATTTGAATGATCACAAGTGATTCTTGGGCAGGATTCGATTCTGCTGCACTTGAATGATCAATCTCTGAGCCAACACATTTTTAAAAGTAAAGTATAGTAGTGCTGCCAAACGATTAATCATGATTAATCACATTCAAAATAAAAGTTTTTGTTTATATAATAAATATACACAGTACATACACATGTATTATGTAGGCTATATATAAATATACACATATGTATATATTTAAGAAAAATATGTTATGTGTATATATTAAATAGTGCTGTCAAACGATTAATCGCGATTAATCACATCCAAAATAAAAGTTTTTGTTCACATAGTTTGTGTGTGTACTGTGTATATTTATTATATATACATAAATACACACATGCATGTACATATTTAAGAAAAATGTTACGTTTATATATTAAATATATTTATATATAATATAAATTATATGAATATAAATTTATACATGTAAATATTTTCATAATACATAGAGTATGTGTGTGTATTTATATATACATAATAAATATACACAGTACACACAGATATTATGTAAATAAACTTTTATTTTGGATGTGATTAATCGTTTGACAATTTATATTATATATAAATATATTTAATATTAATGCTATGAATATACATATGCATGTAAATATTTTCAAAATATATACAGTATGTGTGTGTATTTATATATACATAATATATTATATATATTATACAGATTTAATATACACAATATGCACACTTATATTAGGTTATTAGGTAAACAAAAACTATTTTGGATGCGATTAATCGTTTTGACAGCACTAAAGTATAATACTCACAAATATTTATAGCCTCAAACAATTTAATGTGTACTAAACTGATGAAATGCATGGTTTTAAATGCACGTGTGATGATAATGCATGAATAATCGCGAGAGCGGTGCGTTTGAGTAAAAATCACTCATAACATCAATCATCATCCATGTGAGTGTGTGCTAAATCTACCTTCTTATTCCTATTTCCCTCAGGATATTTCAGCCGGCCATGGGAATGGGAAAAGATCAAAACAAACGTGAAGTACATAATTCGGTTCGGATCTACAGACCCTGGGAAGAGCAACAGGAAGTGGCTGATGGACTGAAGACAGATCTACAGAAATACTCAGACCTTTCCAGAGCTCATCGACGCAGTGAAAAAGCTCAAAACCAACAGCTAAATACCAAAACTCACCCTTCTTCCTCTGTGTATTAAAAAAAATACTCTCATTTTATTTCTTAGGGGCCAAATGAATCGTGTCTTACAAGAAACAATGGCAGTGTATTATTGTGGCATATGCTGAAACATGTGCATGTGCATTTTCATATTATTTTCAATACAAGCATAATCATGTAAATCCTCAAATACTCACGTTTTCTTTACAGTAGCACACAGAATGCCCATGAAAACTGAGACAAAACATAGCATTTAGTACAAAACCAATGACGTACAGGTAATGGCACTTACAGCAGTCAGAACCAACCAAACATTGATCTCAGTTCAAGTTATTACAATTATTATACAATTAAGTTCACACGTGAGGGTTTTGCTGCTCATATGTATTGATACAATCCTATATTTAAACAGGGAAGGTTCAAATGTAAATCCTGGTTCTAATCAGTTATAGCACCATAATAAGGGTCACCGTCAACATAAACAGTTCTTTTAATTGAAATATACACATTGTATTATTTGGTGTAAGAACGGTTTATCTAGTTCATTAAGTTAATGAAATTCATTAATTCTTTTAATAGTGGACTGAAATAAAGCATTCATTTTTACTCAATCCAGTAACACTGATTTCTTGTAAACAACTCTAATCTAAAGTCTAACTCAAACGATGAAAGCAGTCATTTACTTGTCTACATGTTGTTCTAAACACATTACATACAAGACGTTCAGCAGAACGTTCCTGCTGTTCTTTACAGCAACAATTTCATTTGGCAAAGCATGACAAAGTATTGTACTTTTATGCTACTTTTTTAGAGCTCAAAAGGTGTCTTTATTCACTTCCATCTGTATGGAAAAATTGTTTTTTTGTTTCCCCACAGGTTTTGGAACAACATATAAGCGAGTAAATGTCCATTTCATATTTTAGGTGAAAAACAACAACAACAGCAAAAATTTCAGCCGTTCTCATAAAACTGCTGCCATAAGAATCATATATTGCTTCTTCTATAAACCTGAGATTGGAAGTAAAGTGCACTTAGCCAAACCAAGCCATCATGTAAACCTGCTCACTGTTAATAAATAACAATTTGGTCCCTCAATATTCTCTTTGCCACCCCTGTCCTGCGATGACAGTCGCAGGTCCAAGATACATTGGCTCGCCGAGCTTTGGAGGTTTCAGGCACTTTATCAACACCTGTTGGCCTGGTAAGAAAACACACAGTCCATGTATTCTCAATACTTCAATTTATTCATAGAAATACAGATCTTATATAGGCATATGTCGAGGGGAGTTTTACCCTCTTAACCAATGAAGATAGGGGGACATACCCATACAGGATGTTTTTCCCAAGAACATGTGTTTTGTATAAAATCGCCACATATACAGAAAAACATATCCATATAAGGAATAGACTTCCTGTCGAAGAATACTGAGAGGAGGGAGAGTGAGAGGGAGAAAAAGGAAAGGAGGGGCGAGGCATCTAAAGACAGAGAGTGTTTTCTAACACTCACTCGGCTACAAGTTATTTAAATGGCTATATATTTTCAGAAAAGCAGTTATCTGTAACCCATGAGGTTATAGCATCACGTTCATCAGTAAAACATGTATTCAAGCAGCGAGTGTGTTGGGAAAGGACACTCTCGTAACCCAACAGAGCAGCTTCAGGAACTACACAGTCTACTTTTTCCTCCGTGCTTTGGCGTATCCTCTTCCAAACCAGCCTCCCTGAACCGCGGTAGCTTCACCATCAGCCGGTGTGTCAGGCGAAGCGTCCTCCAGAGCAGCAGGTGGCGCTATCTCTTCACGAGTGTGGCTCTTCTGCTCTTGTGGACTGAGGGGTTTAGCCAAGCTGAAGATAGGATCTTTTGATCTGTTATTCGTACAAATAATGGGCAATATTAATAACCGACAGCTGCTTCGGATGAAAATATATGACTATCAGGCTGGAGGCCATGTTATATGAGGAATACAGAGTGCCAAAAACCTAAAAAAAATAAGCGTTTTAGCACTTCCTGTTCTGCTGTCTTGAAGTCAGTGGCTGTGTCTGTCAATTGTTCACAATGTAGCACGGTCTCTCTTACTGTACTGCTTAGCGCTTAGTGAAATCCAGTCAGGAATCCATGCGATCAGGTATTTTGTATGAGGGTAGAAGTTTACCCCACAACCATTTTGCAACAGGTTCACATTTATCTCGCAAATTTGCTGCGTTGACCAACAAAAAGCTGCATGGTTTGAAAGCGACTTCTGTCTGAGCTCTGCTTCATGCATCTCAAGTCAAGTCAAGTCTGCTTTATTGTCAATTCTTCCACATGTACAGCACATACACACAGAGAATTGAAATTGCGTTACTCTCAGACCCTTGGGTGCATACAGATAACATAAATACAGATTAAATACAAAATACATGTGAATGCGCCGCCATCTTGGATCCATCTAGTGCTGTCAAATGATTAATCGCGATTAATCGCATCCAAAATAAAAGTTTTTGTTTACATAATATATGTATGTGTGCTGTGTATATATAAATGAATATATAAATACACACATGCATGTATATATTTCAGAAAAATATTTTATGCTTATACATTAAATATATGTATTTATAATATAAATTATACGAATATAAATATAGACATGTAAATACATGTAAATATTTTTTAAATATATACTGTATGTGTGTGTATTTATATATAGATAATAAATATACACACACATATATTATGCAAACAAAAACTTTTATTTTGTATGCGATTAATCGTTTGACAGCACTAGTATCTACACTATTGGCAGTGGAAGTTTTTGCCTGCTAATGTTTCTGCACCTTAGCAGTATATTAGACACATGAATTCAGTGTTAAGTGGGTCTTGCCTGTTGTAAACGGGAATTCCCAAACCCAGCTCCTCCATCAGAAGACCCATCACAGCATCACACTTGCCATGTATTTTCAGAGTAGCCAGGTTATCCTTCGGTGTCCACTAAAATAAGGAAAACACACCAAGCTGTTAGATCATGTTAACCGAAAGCCACATTTCATTTGATGGTAAACAGAAGAATCAAGAGAATCAAGAAATATTACCTGTAGATTTACAATGTACAGCTTTGGTCTTTTGTTGGCTGGTCTGTTCATGCACCACAAGCACGTGTATTTCTTCAACACCTGATGGACAAACACATAATACATGGCATCAGCTGCATTATTTAGTACACAACAATGTCATTTAGACAAATATTGCAATATGTTCAACTTTTAAGATCTTGTATTGCTGCTACTTGCATAAAAGCTTAAATAACACATGAAAAAAATACCAATCAATGCCTCCAAACTACGTCAGTGCATCTAGCTATACATATCTATGGTACCAGCAGTTTAAGATTGAAGCCACACCCTCTGGATTACATAATTTAAAGAGACAGTTCACCCAAAATTAAAATCCTGCCATCATTTACTCACCCTCGTCATTCAAACCTGTATGACCGACTGTGGAGCATAATATATTGGATCATTATATAATTTGAATGTATAACATAGTGATGGGTTGCTTTTGAAGCACTGCTTCGTGAAGCTTTGAAACCTTTGTGAATCTTGTGTTTCGAAACAGTGGTTCGGAGCTTGTATCAAACTACCAAAGTCACGTGATTTCAGGAAACGAGGCTTTGTTACATCATAACTGTTTCGAAAAGTCAATGGTTTTCCGTTGGGGGGGGGCTGATCTCTGTAAACCAGCGAATCATGCGAGTTCATTGAGCCCCCCCAGTGGTGAACCATTGAACCAGCGTCTATGATTTTTACCTGATCTCGGATCAGTTTCATCAATTTGTAGACATTGTTAATGAGTCATTTGTGTAACTAAAAGGATGAGAAGTAGTTAATAGTCTCTTACTGGGCTCAATACACAAGCTCTCCATAAAACAAACAAAACAAACCCTGCAAATTAATATGAAATAGTTTAAAAACCACATATTATACAGACACTTCATATGTAACGGTATTTTATTATTTTTATAGCATTTAATGTATTATACTTTCAATAAAAAAATTGCAATGGGTTTTTAAAAGCTGTTTTTATGCATGTTTTAGCTTGAATTTTTGTTGCATTTACACACTTTTGACCAGCAGGCGTCATTAGCGTGTGGTGTTTCGTGCGCTTCGAAACAGTGAATCATTTTGCGAAGCAATTAATTTGAAGCTTCGAAAAGGTTAGTTTCTCCCATCACTACTAATATAACATATTTTGATGATATTTTGTTATTTAAACTTTCAGTTCCCATTGACTACCAAGATATGGCCAAAAAATACTATGGAAGTCAACTGGAATCAAAACTATTTGCTTACCAACATTCTTCCTAATATCTTCTTTTGTGTTCAACAGAAGAGAGTCGGTCACAGGTTTGGAACGACACGAGGGTGAGTGAATGATGACAGAATTTGCATTTTTGTGTGAGCTGTTCCTTTAACCCGCTCCAGTCACACCCTCACCTTCAGGCTGGAGCCCAAGCAGAGGATGAGGTCGGCCCGCTGTGTCGCCTCCGGCCCCTTCCAGTTGAGCGGCTGCTCCAGGGTACCACGTTCACCGAAGTGCACTATAGTGTCTCTGAGCTGCGCTCTGCAGTGAGGACACAGGCGGCCCATCCCATGTCGGTGCAGAGCCGTGCGCTCCGTCACGTCAAACAGCCGGATACACTCCCGTGCCAGAGAGCAGCAATCACACACCTGTGTGGCGGATGGGACGGCAGAGGGGAAGATTAATAAAAAAAAAAATAAAAAAAAAGATATTTTACAAGCAGTTTCGAAATATATAACCCTGGAGCACAAAAGCAGTCTTAAGTCGCTGGGGTATATTTGTAGCAATAGCCAAAAATACATTGTATGGGTCAAAATTATAGATTTTTCTTTTATGCCAAAAATCATTAGGATATTAAATAAAGATCATGTTCCATGAAGATATTTTGTAAATTTCCAACCATAAATATATCAAAACTTAATTTTTGATTATTAATATGCATTGCTAAGGACTTCATTTGGACAACTTTAAAGGCGATTTTCTCAATATTTAGATTTTTTT